CATATTAGTATGTCTGTTCGTTTGAATGACATTTCCCATCGTGCTGCAGATAATCACAGAATTGATTCACGCTAGTCATTTATGGATTTGTGACCCCGATTGTGATGACACCTAAAGCTGTATTACTATAAAAATAGGCACCATGAAATCTGAAGATGCTTGCAAGTTTATCCTGGATACAAAATAGTGTGTGGAATGCTAGGTGACACTGAGGGAACAATAGTGCTGCTCCAACATATTTTGTGAAACAATCTTGACAGTTCTGTTTTATTATAACTGAGAAACATTCAACATTTTTAGAGTTTTATGAAGAGGCTTTTTTTTCACGTATTTAACATAATGTCAAAAAAAAATCTGCTTGTTTTATCCATGACAATTTGTAGAACCAAAAGGCATTGACAGGCTTCTCAATGGCATGCTGAGGCTGATATCAGTGCTGTTTGGTGTTGTCTTTTAAACAGTATAAAACAAAATAGACTGTCTTTCAGATTGCACTTGACAAGTAATCATTAGGAGGCAACGTTCAGATTTTCTCGTTTGGAGCATGACTGAATGTTACACAGTACTCCAACAATGATGCTATATTGCCACCCACAAAATGTATTCAGTCTGAACCAAATTCTTCATTTTATTGTGAGTCAATATAGGCACAATCTTTGGAATGGATGTGTAATTAAAATTGAATGAGAAACATCCACAAACAGCAGCTGAACTGAGTCCTGAATTGTATTTTGCATAAGTTTTGAATGTAATATATGGAAATTCAGCAGAGTTTTTAACACTGCAACAAACCAAGCCATTTTCACCACAGAGACGAGAGCCACACATATGAAGTATACACGTAATGTAAACTATCATTGTTATCATTTTTGCTATAAAAGTTATGTGAATATGATCTAACTATCCTACCATTATACCTCATCTTTAAAAACAGCACCTGTTTGCAGTAAAATGCTTCATAGTTTGAATTTTTCTTCACAACTGCCTCTTCAGATTGATTAGCAGTGCTGCCTGTCTCTACAAGCCACTCAATTTGAAACAGGTCATTTGGCCCAATTAGTTTGTGCCAATGTTTATGTTTCACATGAGCTTCTATCCCTCTAAACTTGTTTCTTTTAAAGTATTAGTATGTAGGTTTTAAAACTAGGAAACAAACCCGTATATTAGTATTCTTTAAGCACATCGCAAACTGCATCAGAATTTCATTTACTTTTTGTTACATTTACTTTATAAATAAATCAATCAATCTTGTTTGGCTCCATGAAATGGTACATTTTTATAGTAAACTTTCCTCCTATCCACCCACTCCGAGTGCAGGGCAGAGGAAGGTATAATGTGATTTTAACTATTTAAAAATAATATTTAAAATGTTTTCTGTGGAGAAGCAAATCTAACAACCAGTATACTCCATTCTAGAGTGTTTTGATATGTGTGGAAATAAACTCTTTACGTTATTCAAGCAGAGCCCATAAATTATTTCAAAGGGGAATTAGTTGGATTAGTTGGTTAGAAAAGAATATTAAAGGATATATTATAGGAAGCAAGCAGAAGACTGGGATTAGACTGGGATGTGGAAAAAAACAACCGGCACAGATTTGATGATCTGGATGGCCTAATTGTGAGCTGTAACATTCTATTAGTTCATATAATTATTTTAAAAACAAACCAGACTTGTAATGGGGGACATTCTATTGTGGAGTTTATTTTGGTAATATGTGCCAACTTTGTCAGGAAGGTATCCCACAGCAGTTGTGGAGTCAATCGTATTACATTATATCCAACATCAAAGGCTACTCCCACTCTCCGAGCTCACCTCTCCATTCCCCACACCGGTGGCCCACTGGTCTGTCTGAGTGAGTTAGCTGGTGTAGGATAGTCAGGACTAAATGTTTTGCCAATGTTTTTAATGAAGTGGATCGAATTGGCTTGAGAAATCCATCATTCATTTCATGTGCCATCTTTTCTGGCAGCAGAACATATTGTGCCAGTAAACACCAGATTCCAAACCTCCTTCATTTCTGTCTAACCCACTGAAGCTCTCTCCGTCCTAGTTTTTTTTTAAATGTACCTTATTTTCTCCCCCATCTTTAGTTCTCTCTCAAGGAAATGTGCAGGCAGTAGCCAGAATGTGTATGTTTCTTATTCTTTTGCCCTTCATCTTGTTTGTAATTCTTGTTGTCTGAGCAGTACCCTCTCCTGATTGACAAGTCCAGAAACTAATGACCATAGAAACTCTATGACTCACTATGTTTGAATATCTCTGTGCCACCCATACAATCTGATAAACAGATCGGAAATTATATTAGCTATCTCACATTTGATTTTGCTTGCACTGGCTGATACATTTACCTTGCCCTGTGAGGTTATAGTGGGAATCTTTGCTGGTGGATCATATCACTAACTTTGGCGACTTTATAATAGGAAATCCCCATCATTATCTCTGCCATAATCAGTAAAATTGCCAATTCTCAGCAATTTCCCTCTTTGTAGAGAGGTTGAAAAACAATACTAACACTTCTTACATATTTTAAACATCCAGAGCAGCTCAGTGTTTAAAACCTACAAATCCAAACATGCTGCAGAGTATTGAACATATTCATATCTGAATACAAATGACCTTTTTAAATAAGATACAGAATTGCTTGAAGCTACAGCGATCGACACAAAATGTATAAATTATTTGTGTCTTTTTATTATTTACCCTTTAATTATACACGGCAATGACATGGAAAAGAAACCTCAATATATATTTCATTAACTGTAAGGTCATTACAAAATTATGCTGTTTGGAAAATCCATAATATGCTGTATTTTTTGAGAATTTCTGAACATGTTTTATTAAATGAAATTGATCATGTAGAATTACTAAATTACCTTACTTATTGTAATTTGTGTATTGGAGGAGTGGAAGGGAACCTCCCCAACTCCAAGCTTTCATCAGGAAGTTGAATATATTTGATTTATTTAATACTTATGTCTTGGTTTCTTTTTGATGAATCATAAAAAGTGTAATTTATATTTGTCATATCATCCTCATGACAAAATTTAAAAATTTCATTTTGGACTTTCCATTCTAGGATCTTGATCTTACAAAATATTTTCACATTTGTGTGAATTCTCTTTGCAAAGTTATTTTCCAGTGTTTGAACCCTAACACTTTAGCGTTAAAATATTATAATAAATGCCATGCTTGGGTTTGTTAGAACATGAAAAAAAAGGTCCAGATCAATATACAATGCAGTTTTGGGTCATTTACTTTGATTGTGGACTGAGCTAAATATTTTTTTTGTTAACGTTTCCAAAGGAGGATTATTGAAAGTGGCATTCTCTAATCAATGATTTATTTTATTCTGATGCAGCGAAAGGGGATAATCAAATGTGTTAAATGTTAAAAAACAATTTTTTGTGCAGTATTTTTGCTAGGGTAATCAATATGGGACTTGTGAATAAGACTGCTAGTATTGTTGGCTGGTACAACATCAATTGCTTTGAAATTATAGAAAGAACAAGGGAAATGGATGATAAGTTTAGATTTCTTAAAGACAGATAAGATATTTTCCTTTGTTTTTACATTCTGCAAACGTCTCCTGACTATCCTAGTATTTTATATAAATACAGGTATATTATTGTCCTACTAGTTTATACTAGTTTTCTATTATCCTCTTATTTCAGGTCATAATCTGGTTATTATAGATTTTGAAACATCACTACACTTTCCATTAGTTTTCATATAATTTAATTTATGTTATGATAGAGACAGTTTCCGGTTTGTATATTAAAGCCTTTCATCTAACCACAATCAGAAATCACCTCCCTTCCATATCTCAACCTTCCACACCTCAAACCCCCCACACCTTAACCCTGCCATGAATAGTCCAGGTACAGATGGCTCTGTGATTAGCAAACCTCCTGTATTTTTCATATCCTTCATCGTTTTAAAATATTTCTGGAAATCTGTGAACAAAAATGACCATTCAGCATGTCCAGTCTGCTCCACCATTAAGTTTACACCAACTCCCTAATTCCTTTTTGCTGCTATTTCTCCAGATCCTTTAATATCTTAATTACCAAGTTTCCATCCATTCATCTTTTTTTTTACAAATGCCTCAATTGACTGTATTTTCTGAGATAGTTAGTTGACTTTTCTTCCTATAAAATTTTCAACTCTGTTTATATCCATCTTTTATTTGAATTTCTCAAAATATTCTCCCCACTACTGCTCTGCTATCTTTCTCACTTGGAAAGGAAAGGCCCCAGCAGATGTCCTTGCATTGATATCATTACAGCTACTCCTGAATGTGCTTCAACGGTGTGGGTCAGAATCCTGTCCATCTCCAGTGAATGCAATTGCACCGATGAAATGCGGCCTTGAGGGAAACTTGACTGGGATTAGAACTCCATTGCTCTGCTCTAGCCCATGTTTCTCCCCTTCATTTGTTTTAATAAGTTCAGTTAACATCATAAATATGGCAGATTAGTAAGATTGTATGATATTAAGAAAGCTCCTCGGTACCATACAAAATTCAATATACATGTGCTGGTGTTAATAGCACCCATTATTTCTGTGAGGCTGTGATAAGTATTCCTAAATGAAACATTTTATATGCCAGTGGCGTTAATATATGTCCTCAAAAGTGCCCCAGCAGTAATGCAATCTAAATCCCAACTTCAAAGAGGCACTTTGTATTGAAGAGCATGACATTTCCATTCTCCACACATTACAATCAGAGGTGATACCTAAGGAGGATTTTAGCTTTTCTTTTGCTATGAACTTATTTCTACTTACATAATATAACATTAATGCTAACTTAACGGCCTTCAATGCTACGTGATCATCATTTCCATCTGTGGATTGGATTGAATATGCCTTCAAGTCAGAGAATTTCTTTAGAAGATTTTTCTCAGCTATTCATTTCCCAGAACATTTTTGATGCATTACATTCCTGGGTATTTTTAAGGAATACAAATCAGTATTTTTTTTCTTTCTGTAACCATTTCAGGTGTTTGGTGATATTAGCAGCACTAGCTTTGCACAGAATGAAGTAAACACAGTATCGCAGAAACAGATGAACTATATGGAGAATGTACAGCAATCCTCTGCCCTTTGTGCACTTCGAGAAAGACAGAGGAAGAGGAACACAGAGTAAGTAGTCAGAAAATGAATAGAAAATGTACATTTGCTGTCTGAAATTTTTTTATACAACGTTTTATTTGCAATCTTATATCAAAGAACAAACTGCAGTAGAAACGCATCAACTCAAGTGCAGTTTCTGTGATGAAGCCACAATTGAAAAAAAACTGTGAGAAAAATAATTTAAAATGGAGTAAAGAAAGACAAGAAGAGAAAGAAAATGATAGTTTAATCCAGATAATAATGCACATTAGTCTTTAAGTTTAATTTATATTAGCTATGGCATCTTGAAATCATTGAGTTATGCGTTACTTTATCAGAGCAAGGGTTCCCCAATGGCAAACTTTGATCATAAATCTTCAGCCCCTCTTTATCTGGATCGCATAGACTTACGCAACAATTAGCCTTTCCAGTACTTACTTTCTGCATAGTGGAGCCTGATCATTCATTTCAATTTATAAATTTGTGACCTCCTAACTCCTTACCATCCTGTCCGCTCCCTCTGCTCAGCGGGCTCTGGCCTGCTTCACGACCCCTGCCTCGCTTGCCCTACCATTGGTGAGCGGCTCTCCAGCCACTCTGCCCCTACCCTCTGGAACTCCATCTCGCAGTCCCTCTGCCTCACCTCCTCCCTTGCCTCCTTCAAGACCTATCTCACGACCCTCCTCTTCGACCATGGCTTTGGTCACCCTCCTTCCCCCCCTGCCCTCCACCCTCTCCGATCTCACCGTCCAGCTTGGGTCCGAAACACTGATTGTCCAGCGCTTCTGACGTGAAAAGTGCTACACAAATGTAACTTTGTTGTTGTTTGTCGCATTTTGGTTGAAATGGCTGAAAAATGATGATGATAATAATAATAATTCTTGCAATTGATATAGCGCCTTATCACATCGTCGCGACATCTCAAGTCTCTAAGTGATAATCAAACAATGCAGGTTTCTGATCATCAAATCAAGACCTTTCCTCAGCAACGTTTTTAATCCCTATGCTGTATACACATTTTCACCTTTTGACTCTACTGACCACTGTCTCATATCTCCATCTTAGAAAATTCTGTGCAGCTTACTTCACCTGGACAGTCAGACTGGACTTATTTTATATAACAGCTCAGGTGACTGAGAATCTTAGAATATTATTTTACCTGGTTTAAATTCTGCTTCTACTCTTCTGGTTCTCTGTCTGTTTCAATAAATTAGCTATATGCCATGCAACAACAACAACACCAAATTACATTTGTGTAGTGCCTTTCACGTCAGGAGGAAGTCCCAAGTCATGGGCAGTCATACTATTGCAAGGCTTCATACTGTCAATATTGGCTCCAACTTTCATTACTATCTCAAAAAGAAGTAAACTGGAAAAATGGCAAGTAAATGGGACCAAAAGGACTGTTCTTTAAAGAGCAGGCACAGACACGATGGGCTGAATGGTCTTTTGTACTGTAAATTTCTTTGGTTCTATGTTTCTGACTGACAGATTTTGTTTTTAACTTTTGTAGCACCCCAGTGAGTGTGGCTAGTTTAATAGTTACTAATAGTTCTTTTCTGGGCAGAATCTGGGGAGGAGGGACAAAATTCACAATTTTAAATGGTTTGTTTGAGGTATAATGGGAGGTTTCATTCAGTAACTACAAACTTTATGATCATGCTGGTAACTTTTGCCAGTTCTGAGCAAGCCATTTCCTGTCCATTTAATTTACGCCGTGTGGTGTTAATCGACTCCAGTGAGTTAAATGGAAAATAGCCCATGTAGAACATTTTTGAATGGACTTCTTAAAAAGAAAGCATTTAAAAAAATACCATGTACTATATCATGGTTTTAACCAAACAAATTTCAGACACCTCCAGGAAGTTCAATAATTTACACAGAATTTACCAATGCAATACTTTATTTTTTCCAACAAATGTTTGGTGCAGCTTAATTCAATTAAGATTAGTAGTTTTATCTTTCCTTTTGGGTAATAAATTGTCACAATTGGAATAAAAATATCACAGAAGATGTATTACTGGTTAATAAACTGCAATTGAAGAGGGGAACAACTGCAGAGCTGGAGAAATAGAGAATCTTCTCAAACTGTCGTAAATCCTTAAATATCCAATGCAAAATGCTTAGAGTTCCTTGGTGACAGATGTTAAATTAGCTGGAAAAATAACTTGAAAACTAGATATGCATATCCCAAAAATGTAGTTTTATTTGGGGTATCTAATTTTACAAGAATACAATTCAATGTATCTCTTATTTGAAAAATAGTCTAGTGATTAATATTTCAATATATTTAGGTATATCATCCAGAACTCTGCAGTCCGTGTCTTCTCCCGCACTAGGCTCCGCAACCCTATCACCCCCATCCTTGCCCAACTCCACTGGCTTCCCATCACAAAGGATACAGTTCAAGATACTAGTCCTCACCTTCAAAGCCCTCCATGGTCTTACTCCCCACCTACCTCTCCGACCTCCTAACCCCCTACCACCCTGTTCGTTCCCTCAGCTCAGCGGGCTCCAGCCTGCTTCACGTCCCCCGCCTTGCTCGCCCCATTATCAGCGGGTGGGCCTTCCGCCACTCTGCCCCCACCCTCTGGAACTCCATCCCGCAGGCCCTCCGTCTCGCCCCCTCCCTTGCCACCTTCAAGACCCACCTCAAGACCCTCCTCTTCAACCGTGCTTTCGATCTCCCTGCTTCCCCTCCACCCTTCCCCACTCCGACCCTCAGCCTCTGTCTGTCCAGCGCCTTGGGACATCCTCCCATTGTAATTTTGTTGTTGTTGTTAAGTGTGAAATTTGGGAAGATAAGTTTGTGAGAATGATGGGTTATTCCTGATAATAATAATAACAATAATCCTTGCATTTGATATAGAGCTTATCAAGTCTTCGAGACGTCTCAAAGCACTTCACAGAATATACTGTAAAGTGAATTGACTGTGTATATTTTGTGGGCAAAATGCGCAGCCAATTATGCACAGCAGTATCCCACAAACAGTCATGGATTGAGTGACCAAATTATTGTTTACATTTATTTTGAAGTAATTATACCCCCAGAAAAGCGATCCACCAATCGAGTAACAACTGCGTTCCTACTTACTGCTAGGTAAACATAGGCATGTTGAGTAAGAAAACTTGCCCAACATTTCGCCATGCTGGGAATCAAACTTAGGTCCTCTCGCTTGCGAGGTGAGTGTTCTAGCCACTGCGCTTCAGGACTCCACAGACCTTATGACCTGATAGCCTCAATACTTTCAATGCATAGTAACAACCGGGCTCACATTTGGATTCAGTGTCACCATTGGTACCCGCTACAACAACAACAACAACTTGGATTTATATAGCGCCCTCCACATCGGATGGTGTCCCAGAGCGCTTCACAGTAACGCTACCTCAGTTAGTAGCACCCTCACCTCTGAATCAGAAGGTTGTGGGTTCACAAGTTTATGGGCTCTTGGAGTTTGCTGTATAACTTTGGACGGCGGTTTCTGTAACTAGTTGCTTAGTACTGAAAAGATTGGGGTAAAACATGCTAAATGTTCCATGCCAAAAGTACTTTATTATCAAAAGTGGGAAGTTGTGTCCAGTCTTCCTTTGCAGGTGTTGAGGAAGATATATATTTGCAGGAGGATACTTGGTGCATAGAGGGCAGTGCAGCAAATATATCTTTCAAACCTAGGCAACAAAACACTCTCCTTGACCAGCACCATTCAAGCGTGCACTGAAAACCGTGTTGACATGTGAATTTATGAGTGTACTGCTTACTACAAGGGGCCAATGGAAAAAATCAGCCATATAGCGAGGAAGTGGCACATGGGTTGCCCTTTCTGCTACAGGACGGGATGAAATCTGATTTAAATTAGATTTTCTGAGTCAGTCCACATAACAAAGCAGGGGTAAGTGTCTGAAAACATCAAGGACATAGGCAAATGATCCAACCAAGGTTCATTTATATCATCAGGGGAGTCATGCACAAATTGTCAAGAAAGGCTGTACGTTTCAGCACCTTGGAACGTCTTCCCAATGTGAAAAGCTCTATATAAATACAATTTGTTGTTGTGGTTGTTGTTGTTTTGGCAATCAGTAAAGAAGGGAATGCTTGTGTGCCCTTGGAAAGACATGAGATATAATTAAGTCATTTGGACTGAGTATTCATTCAGCTTCCTATAGCATACCAACCATAGCATCAGGGAATCAAAAAGATTTACAACACAGAAGGAGGCCATTCAGGCCATTGAGTATGCACCAGCTCTCAGCGCAAGATGTACTTTCAGTCCCGCTGTCTTGCTCTACACCATGCTCCTTCAAGCCTTTATCTTTCATATATTCATCTACTTCCTTCTTGAAACCCACAATGGATTCTGCTTCTACTATCTTACTTGACAGGGCACTCCACATCCCAATAATTCACTGAAGTTCTCCCTTTGGTCTTCTTGTGACTATCTGAAAACTATAGGAACAGTTACCAGTGGAAATAGCGTTTTTCTATTTACCTTGCCAAAGCCTTTGATAATTTTGTACACTTCTATCAGGTCCCCTTTCAACTTCTTCTGCTCCATTGAAAACAGACCCAGCTTTTCAAATCTGACTAAAGTCCCTCATCCCTGGTACATTCTAATAAATCTCCTCTGAACCTCCTCTAATGCTTTAACATCCTATCTGAAGTGAAGAGTTCAAAACTGAATGCAATATTCCATTTGCAGTCTAACCAATGACTTGCAGCACCTTGTGATGTCCTCTCGACGTGAAAGGCACTATACAAATGTAATTTTATTGTTGTTGCACAAAATTAACATTTTTGCTTTACTTTTGTACTCTATGCCCCTAAAACCCAGAATACCATTAGCTTTTTCACAGTCTTTTCTACTTTTACTTCACTTTTGCACTCCCTGGTTCCTTGGTATCATCTGCAAATTTTGATACTGTACCCTTTATATCTAAGTCAAAGTCACTAAAATATGGGAGACAGATTCCAAAATGTTTTTGAGCTCTTTGAGATTTCTTGAAAAGATGTGATAAGGCACTATATCAAATGC